ATTGGGTTCGCTCGCAGTCATTGTTTGTTTTTTTTTAAATTTTTTTCATACAGACGATGCCGATATCATCATTTGTAACCACATAGTAATATATATATTATTAAAGTCATATCTCTGTGCGGATTATTTTTTAGTTACGAAAATATTTATTTATTTATTTATTATTAAGTCACTGGACTAGCCCCATTGTATACATTATTTAGAGATATATAAAATAACATTAAAATAATACAGTTAACAAACCAATTAAAATAAATTAAATTAAATTAAAAAATATAGATATTTGTGAGTGGTCCTTTGAGCCTCATCGTCTAATTTTATCATTCCAATTTTATCCATCTCAAGACAGGCTTGTTGTATAACACACGTGGACATGGAATAGAGAGAATTTTCGTAAGTTTGTACTAGTGACCTCAAAATTGATCCTAGCTAATAGTTCCGGAGCATCCAATTTCCGACTATAACCAGTTTAGATAGGAAGAGTTAACCTGGATTCTTCTATTAATCAATACATCTAAATTTAGATGTTCTAATAATGACCACGCTTGGTACCATCTGTAATATTAATATTATTAATATTAAAACCAATTTTCAAATACTTAGATTTTTATGTCGCATAAGGAGTGTCATGTAGATATACCTACAACACATCTTATTTTATAATGAGAACCACTTTTTGTACTGTCAATTTTCAAACAGATGATTTTATAAAAAAAATTTGAAGTATAATATTATAATTTAAAATTCAGAAAATATTGTTTTTAATTATTAAACTTTATATTAAAAAGATAATAGTCCTTAATTATAATGGTTTTACATAGAACATAAAATAGATTGTAATATATAGTACTTGACGCAGTGGGATTATTCGCACACTTGCGAAACAACCATACCCAACATCCTTTGATGTTTATCAAAATGTCGTCAACTTTTGGATCGGCTACGCCGTAAATCAGATAATATCCTATATACTTATAGTATAGTAATATCCTAACGTGATTATTTTACCAAAGTATTCCTTGGATTTACAAAATCCACCCATTGTATATACTATATAATATCAAATTACAAAAAATTCTAATTTTTGAATAACTGCCTAATCCTAAATGTTGTTAGGTTAACAAAACTAGTGTTGTATGCCGGTGTTCCATGATAATATTTGACAGTATTCATGTTTTACAAGTGTTATATTAAAATCGTCATACGCAACTATTATAATATTATAAAGTTTTTTCTGAAATTTTCCGAACCTACAGGCCATACATTAATAGTAAGTAATAAATTCTAAATAACGGTCGAAGAGGCGTATTAAACTGTAAATAAATGATTATGAGTAATATATAGGTGACTTTATTTTATGGTTTATACAACCTACACTGCTGCGCTACCCTGCGCGTAATCCTCGGGAAATGACCAGCACGTCAGTTCGGTGAAGATGAAGACTAGTTTCACCAAAGCAATTTTTATCACAACCTTATAGTCGAACACGAATTTTTTAAAAAAATATAACAATAAAAAATACCATAGTTGTTTAAAAAATATAATATATTGTTTTGTTATGAGTTATGACATTAAATTATTATATAATAAGAAAATATTTTAAATGTAATAATGTTAATATTTTTCGAGATGATGCGTGTTGACAACTATTAAAACAATCGCATCCAGTACACATACTCATTCGTGGATACGAAAAACCAAAAAATAATCGTCAAAGCGGTTGGTATTGGACGGTGGTTTGATAAGTCAAAAATACCAGCATGCGTATACCGTAAACTGCAATAATAATAATAATATTTCCGGCGGTCACAACGACCGTGCATACCGCTGTTGGACAGCGGGAGTTTAGAACCTCGTTGGATTTTACCCACGAACTTTATGCAGTCCAACCGTGAATTCCACATTATACCGTGGTTCAGGGGCGTATTTATGGGGGTGGCTGGGTGGGCTGCAGCCCCCCCTGAAATTTCAAGAAAATCCAAAAAATATGAATGTCAATAAAACTTTATTTGTTGGGTAAAAAAGCTTGAAAATTTAATACAAGGCTCCTGCTATATTGTTACAATAGCAGTTGAAAAATATTAAAAATCCTTAGTCATAGTTTTTTTATAAGCATTTAAAGTTCGAATCTTGACAAAATACGGAAAAATCACAAAACTTAAAATTTTGCTGAATGTTTTCATTTTGTATACACCAAAAAAATTTGAAAATATTTTGCCTCTTTTTGAGCTATTTACGGACATTGACAGTTTTCATTTTTCTTAGTTTTTTTTCTATGAATATCAATAAAATTTTTTTTGTTGGGTAAAAGCGTGAAAATTTAACGCAAGGCTCCTGATATATTGTAACAATATTAGTTGAAAAATATTAAAAATACATAGGCACAATTTTTTCTTATAATCATTTAAAGTACGAATTTTGAAAAAATTTATCAAATTTAAAATATAATAAATATTTTGTAATTAAAAATTTATAAAATGTTCAACTTTCATAGTTAAGGATTAAAAATTTAAAACAATGGTCCACGTAAATAGGTAAATATATAAATTACTTTATTCACAATAATATCATCAAATATACTTAGTAATATCATAGGCTGACTGACCGTTTTCGCTTAGAATCGTTTTTCTTATACAATGATATTATATCATTGAATTCAAATTTTACACCATCCATTACAGTGACCCACTTGTTACCTACTGTACAGCAGAGCGACATCCACTTACCCACTTTTTGTTTATTGTGTGACTATGTTGATAATTTTGTTCAGCCCCTCCCGAAATAAAATTCTGGATACGCGCCTGCCGTGGTTCTATAAACTTGCAGCTGTGTTCACTGGTGAGCTCGGCTAAGGCTGCTGGCGACCACCGTCCACGTTTTGTCTACGGTATACTCGAGGACAACTCGAGTGGTGCGACCATAAAGTTAATTTTATCCGTCTACCGTCTCGACGACCTTCATGAAGATCTTGGACAATTTTCCCGTTTCCGCCCTCAAGTGTGTATAGAAAATAATATAGTGTTGTGCAGTTCAAAGAAATCGAGTCCCAAACGACCAAACAAAACGGGCCGCACGTTTCACAAGAATTACGCGCCGGGCTACTCGTAAAGATACGATGCACATGAATCACCTATATTTATTATTCACGCACTCCTTGTAGAGATATTATCGACAATTTCAATATTTCATACTCCTCTACGACGATTTTTTTTTTTAATTTACTTTATATTTGAATAGATGTAGGACGTATAATAACACAAATACGCGTGGTGCATATTGAAGTATATGGGTATTATGTTTTATAAATCTACTCTAAATCACGTTTGAGTCGTATACGTCATGTACCTATCCATAATTTAATAATAATATGACATATGTAATACTAATATTAAATACTTATTTGTTTTGTTTATTGACTGATGGAGAGACTACAAATACTGTGCATTGTTATTACTTCGTATATTAAATGCAATTATTCTGTATTTAAATATTATATTTTTCTTAGATTTTCGCTACGTTAACCCTACATTTCAACCGTGCTCTAATATTTCACCAAATTGTGTATATTGTTGTAGCTACGCCATGTTGTATATATAGCGTGGTACAACTGTGGACTACAATTAGCTCTCTATGCCTACTACGACCAGCCCACTAAATGTATACCTGCCACATTACCATGGGGGTTTTTTTTTTATAATAATTTATTGTTATAAAATAATTTTGTACTTGTGTGTTACTGCACTAATATAACATGGTATAGGGGTAAACAATTATTGAATGTTATAAAATAACAATTTCATAATTTTGCAGTATAAAATTAACAATTGGTGCGGTCTGGTCGAGTCTTTATAATATGATTTTTTCAAACCGGACCAAACGCGTTTTACTCGACTAGGAGGAAGAATATATAAACAAGTATATAAACAAAATAACAGCCGCATTATATTGTTATTCTTCGAGCCATATAAGCCAAAACGCGTCGGGATGTATACATCGTAAATACAAATATTTTCTGAGCAATATTCACTATACGAAATTACACGGTGGCAGCTTTTATAACGAGTTACGGGAGAACGGTCGTTATAATGTTCCACCGGGTGGATAATGTGCAGAATAAAATAAAATAATAATAGTAGAAAAAACCAAAACGTAACATTCCGACAGCATAAATGTTTCGACTCGACATTATTTTGTATTTGTATATTTTTAAAGCACTTATCACATCAGACCGCCAGTTTTTTTGTCATTTTTTATATTTGAAATTTTGAACGGTTTCGTCATTCGTCGAACCATTATAATATTATAATTTACGTAACTCTAAGGATCGCCAAAAACAGTGATGATAGTTAACGTGAGTACGATCTAAAGGCCCTGAACGTGGAGCTCGATCTCGCCTGTACGTCATTTAATAGTAAAACTCTACATTAATTGAGGCGATAATATTATCAGCTAGGTTCGACAACAGAACTATTTGTGACAATGTAATTGTGCAGATAATGTAGTCGACCCAACTTGGGGGAAACCTGGTTTGCGGTATACGGTATATGTACCGACGTACCGACTACCGAACGTCCGCACCCACGTATATATCATTATTTTTTAGCATGGTTTACTCCTTGTCAACACGCAATATACAAAAATATGTAGTTTGTACTTTGCAGTCAATGATCAACACAGTAAGTTTCCTTACGAAGACTTATCTCTTCGCACTTATTGCGTTTTGTACGGTTATCTACAGTCGAAAATCGAGTGACTCATAGTGTTATTTTCAGATATTCTAAGAATCGTATTCTATAGTAAAATTAATGTTATACTAGTCCTAAAATCGTGGGACAGTGGCGTATCTAGGCATTTTTTTTTGGGGGGGGGGGGGGGTTGATCAGTTACAAAAAAAAAAAATAACTGCAAAATAAGTGATTAAAAAAACTATATTTAAAATTTTAAAGCAATAATATCATCAGTAATATCTACATCTCTATGAATTGATAATAGAGCTAGTCCTACAAGCCGTGATTCAGATGTTGTGTTTCGAAGATGACTTTCAACCTCCTTAATGTTGAAAAACTTCTCTCTGCAGTTGCTGTTGAAACAGAAAGTATTGATAGTATCTTAAGAAGCTCATACATATTTGGGTACATTAGTTGATCACATTGATGAAGTGCTTCGATAGCCGTCGATGGCCGAGATTCAACTAAGTTCCATTTCGACTGCCATAATTGATATTCAACTTTTATAATGTCATCATAACCTTTTAAATCATTCTGGTAAAATGTAACTGCTGCTTTAAGATTTGAATATGGCTTATCTACAATCATATTTGGTAAAACGTATTCCAGAGAATTCATTATTTCATAATGTGATAATAAAAGTATAATTATCATCTGAGTGAGGTATAAAAACTGTTCTCCTATAAAATTCTTTAGTATTTTGAAAAGGAACATTTTGGTGGTTTCTTTGAGTGATACAAATTCGTGGCATACTTTCTTCCACATTTATTAAACCTCCTAAGCGATTGAATTCTTCATAAATTTTATTAAATTCGTCAGTTGCATTATCTCTTAATATTTGAAGTTTTATTGTTACCTGATTCACTCTATCAAGGGAATTTACTAAATCAATATTTTTACTTTGCAAGTGTTCTGATAAATGATAAGTATAACTTAACAACTTAGATGATACGCAGACAGGAACTAAAAATTTAAAATTACAGATGCTATTTAATAAGCTAATTGTTCTGTTTGAAGAATCACATTCTATTTGTTCGAGCGCAGCGACAATAGGTTCTAAAAATTTTTTAAACAGCATTACAGCCTCGTGGCGTAAAACCCACCGAGTTTCGTATAAATACTTTAATCTGAACGACAGTGCGTTAGGCGTAGGATCTCTATAATTTTAGTTTTTAAAATTGTCGTTATCTGTGCTGACGAATGGAAAAAAGCACAACAATCAGAAATAATACTAAATGAATTACGAATAGCTTGTGTTTTGGCAGTATCAGATAAGCAAAGATTCAGGGAATGAGAAACACAGTAAGTGTAACAACTGTAACAACTGTCGTGTGACAATTTTTTTTTATTCCTAACACACTTTCTTAGTACATAATATAGTGTTATAGCCTATAGGCAATATTATTGAAGTTAATATGTACTAGAGGATCAACAGTCGAGGTAATTGTTTTAGTTTGAAATAAATTCTATGTCTGTATTATTACATTTACAGTACTTACTATTAATATTACTTTAAATATTACTACCTTTTTGTTTATAATTTAAATGTTCGAATACAAACATTTTAATTAAAAATGATTGTTCTAAACGAATTCAATCGGATTACACAACTCTGTGGAGACAATATGTTGAGTTGAATGTGTCACTTAAACTTATGGCTAACGTGTTGCCAATATTTTGTTACCTATAACTTATAAGTACCAAATATACAGAACACGACACAACATGGACAATATCAATAACTTCGTATACCTAAGTAAAATTGATTTTTTTAAATGTAAATCATTGTAGAATTGATTTACTATACTTCTCCCCCGTAAATCGTTACTTTTTATTGATAAATAACTGTTTACATAATATAATAATAAGTAAATAAGTAATATTATACATATAACACGAGCGTATACCTACGAAATTTTGCAAAAGTATTTTGTGGGCTTTATTTTAAGTTAAATTATTAATTTGTTGTACATCAAAAAATGAAACAGCAATAATAGTGTATTTAATTTTAAATTGTCGCTCCTAATTAATACTCCAAATTAATGAACACAGTAAATTAGTGTTTATGCTGGTAGCAGCTGCTGTGATATTGTCTTCTACTCAAGTTTATATCATCGTTTGTATACTTTTCTCGTCTGGAATTATGCCTAGGGGTCACTCAGAATTTTAACGTTCGATTGTGTTTTTAAGCCGACGTTATGTATATATTCGTTTTGTTTTTGAATACGGTACGAACTTAGACATAGTATAACGCAATAATATAGACCGTCTGTTTGAATATCAAACAAATCTGCTGCATACCAACCACTGTGCATAGTAATAATAATTTCCAAATGGTCGATTCACATACATTTCGACGTACAAAGATCGTTTCAAATCGTTCGTACGAGAGTGATTCACATCGCGTACCATGTGTCCATCGTTATCCACTCCACGGTTTCCCAATAAACCCTTTTATTTGAATTTTACCGTATTATATCAGTCGGATTCGAAGAAATTTGAACCAGATACGTGCGCGGACACAGTGACGTAGACTTAGCATTTGGTCCAAGGAAACAAAAATAATTTTCACACACCCTCGTTCGTGGCATTCGCATACCTTTCAAGTCTAAACAATTTCACCCACCGTGGTAGGGCTTAAACAGAACTTCAAAGCGGAGTTAAATACACACATACATACATTTACGTTTTAATCTATATATATATATATCACTCACTCATTCATTCATCGCAACATCTCAATAACTACAAAACGTACGAATTTTACATTTGGAATAGTGGACGTTCCTCTAATGATCTAGATGTGAAATAAGACAGGATTTTCCAATATTCGCATTTTAAAAAGGTGGTCTAACAGGGATCTTGAGATTCAAGGTGGAAATAGAATTTTTTGTTTATAAACGGTTTCCATTGGTATTGTAGATTATAATAGTAATAGTAGAAATTAGTATTGTTATTTTTGTTTTGTATACAAATGGTCGCCATTGGTAGATCAGGTACAAGCATGCAAGTAATTGTCGTGCTTATGGTCACGAATAAATAAACTATATCTTGAAAACAAATGCATATGTGTGTAGCTTATTATAATCCAAAAATATTCAACTGGATTTGACGAAAATCTCAGAGATTGTTTTTAGAGATGTCAGAAAAGTTTAGAGAGTGATTGTTTAGTTTAAACAATGTTAAAAAATATATCAAGCTTAATCCCATCCGCGCCTGGGTGTTGCCCATCCAGGTCGAATTGTTTCAAAAAGCCAGGTATGCTGACGCTGATTTTCCAGTGCAGAAATGCAGATCATTAAGACAGTAAGACTGAGGTACACTCAAACCAATATACACATATATATTAGCGTAAATACTATATTATAGGATTTATCACAAAAAATCTGCACACCGAATGAGAAATGTAAAAAATCAGAATTAGAATGAGCATATTAATATATTTAATATTTATATATGATTAAAGAAAAAAAAGGTGGGTATATTTCTACTTTACCGGACACCCTTTTTTTTGCAATTTTTTTTTTTGAAATTAATGTAGTTAAGCACGCTGAAAACGATGGTGAAGTCCAAATTTGGCGCACGGACTTAGTTTTGAAGTTATGGCCTAATGAAGTTCACTATTTTGCGATTTTCACGCATTCGCGCAACACTAGTTTACCGCGCGCCTACTACGAATATTGATATTTATATATTATAATTGAAGGGGTGAAAGTTTTAAGGTATTTTACACATTATAGCAAAATATTAAATTAATAATTATTATTTATTTGTCGTCGTTGTTGTCTACGTCTTTTTCACCGTCATCGTTCCCGTCATCATCATCGTCACTGTCATCATCGTCGTCACCGTAGTCGCCGTCGTTAAATATCATATTATCCTTATTGTTCGCATCATAAAGGATACCCGCATGTTTAAAAAACTCAGCTGTTGGGTCTAGGTTATGCGAACGGCAGTGTTTGGTAAACATAAATTTCGCCAAATAGCCTGCGTAAAAAGCTTTTTTACGGCAGTAATTAGACATTGATGCCTTCGAATGCCTCCACGAACTCTCTATTGTGTTAGAGTGGACCCCTGTCTCAGGGTCCTTAAAATGCAGACTATGATTTACAGTAAGGTGCTGATAGCCTTCATTATTTAAGGTATTGTAGGCCTAAAATAAAATAGTAAATTAATTTATATTTCCGAAAATATATTGGACAAATATATTACTCTCCAACAATCGGATATAATGGTTGTTCCCGGTTTTATCCAGTCTTTTATAATGGCCAGAAGGGTTTCGGCGGTTCGGTTTTCAACGGGGATCATAAAACAGTTACCTGTTTCCCGTTCATAACCGCCAAAAACCCATTGGCCCTCAACTCTATGACCCCGATGATGCTTTCGACGTCCAAACTTCGATTCGTCGATTTCAACTGTTCGTCCACAGCCGCCCAATTTTACTTTCCGTACCACCATCGCGTCGTAACTTACTTCTCGGCAAAAAGACGACCAATCAGTTAAAACTTGGTTGGAGAACCTCAATTGCACTTTCATCACCGGGAATGAACAGTGCAGTGACCACAAATTAATAAAGCTACAAATTTCTAATAGCGTAAGATGGGACTTGTAAAAAAATGTTTCGTGTCTGAGTGACATGCTATAAATGTAAATATTTTTAAGTGTTAGTTAGTAATTTGGCATAATTCTAGTTTAGCGGCCACGCGAATTTTCCGATTAAAACTGTGGCCCCCTTGGGGAGGTGTTGCACAGCAAATCGGGGGATATTTTCGTTTTAATTGTCCGAGCGAGCGCAGCGAGCGAGTGACCCCGCTCGGTGAATCGGTGCAACAAAAATGCATTTTTTTTAAACCTGTGGCCCACTTGGGGAGGTGTTGCACAGCAAATCGGGGGATATTTTCGTTTTAATTGTCCGAGCGAGCGCAGCGAGCGAGTGACCCCGCTCGGTGAATCGGTCCAACAAAAATGCATTTTTTTTAAACCTGTGGCCCACTTGGGGAGGTGTTGCACAGCAAATCGGGGGATATTTTCGTTTTAATTGTCCGAGCGAGCGCAGCGAGCGAGTGACCCCGCTCGGTGAATCGGTGCAACAAAAATGCATTTTTTTAAACCTGTGGCCTACTTCGGAAGGCGTTGCATACCAAATCGAGGTTAAGTAGAAAAGTTCCCATATTAGTAATAATATACAATTTAGTAATAATGAGACAGTCGTAAAATAGCCATAATAATATAAAAAAAAGAAATCGGTAAAACAAAAATACCACCCCGCGCGGGAGTACTGTGGCGCGGGTATATACGTAAATTTTAACTCGTTGAAATACATAGATTTCCGAACAATTTGCGAGGCTGCGAAATTAGATTTGTTCCAGTAGTTTTAGTAATTTTCTATTTAGGTACCTATAATTGCATGATTTTTTTCCTTTTTTGTTAATTTTTGCACGACAAATCCATTTGTATTTATCGATTGACGATTGATCTTTAACCAATCTCATCGGATGTCCTCGTATACAATTTTGTTCATTTGGCAATATACCAAATGACTGTAATTTGACAATCAAACCTAAGCCATCGTTCAGGCTTGACCATTC